CTCATTTGCGTGAAAGACTGGTTACTTGCAGATAGAAGAATGCAAGATAAAGTTGCTGGCAATATTGCTCAAGACTTGAAAAATCTTACCATAGATGAATAGAATCTGATTTGTAATGACGAAATTATAGCTAAGTAGGTGCCAACCTAATTGGGATGTACTTTAACTATAAATTTATAAATAGTTAAAAACTGTTTAATTTGTCAAGTTAGGCAAAATATTGTTCGAAAAATTGTAAGTTTTTATGTTATTAATGTAAAATTTATCGAAAAATGAAGTAATGTAAAATTTATTTTTATGTAACTTTTATCGATTTTCACTATAATTATAAAATGTAATTTTTACAATTTATTTTTGAAATGACAAAAAAAAAAAAGAGCGGGCCGAACCGCTCGAACCAAAAACCGGCCCATGTGGGCTTCCGGTCCGGGTTATGCTTTTTTTATCCCGGATCGGCCTGGCCCGGAAAGCCCACATGGGCCGGTTTTTGGTTCGGCGGGCTGTGCCCGGGCTTTTCAGTCTGTGGGCCGGGCCGGGCCTCCCGTTTTGACATCTCTAAGTAATGCAACAATTTGAAAGTTCAACCTTAGTAAAGACAACAAGGAATCAGAGCAGATTTTCGTTCAAATTAAGGGTCTGTTTGGGTCGGATTAAAACCCGATTTTAATCAAAGTCAAACAATTAATATTAACCACATCTTTCAGGGGTTCCACATCTTTTCAACCACACATTTCAAAAACATCTATCACAATCCACTAAAAATCTAATTTTAATTCCCACCAAACACCATCTAAATTACGAGATTGAAAGTTTAACTGCTCGAGTGAAAGGAAATAAATTAAATTTGGGAGGATTGTTGATTTTCTTGAATTGCTTTCTTTAAGATTAAGTTTCCATTTAACTATAACAATGAATTGAAGCATTGGATTCCCAGGTAAGGTTGGAACTGTATTGCATCTTCAGGAAATGTGAATCATAAACCACGTTAATTCTGGTTCTTTAATATTTATTTAATTACACAAAATCCAACGTTGATTCATAGGACAAATTAACGGTCGAAGATGAATAGGTTGGTAGTTTGTTGGCGAAGAAAAAGCATGTTTAACCACAGCATTTGAAGCAGTTTTGTAGGAAAATGTGTGGCACCAAACTTCCTCCTTTACATTATAAATTGATCTAAAAATATATTAAACAAAACAAGATCTCAACATGGCTTCGAGATTCATAGTGTTGTTTTTCGCACTACTGGCTGTGAATGCCCATCCGCCTGAGACTTTTGATATCAGAAATTATGGTGGGAAACCCGACGCAAATATAGCCAAGGTATACGTCAAAATCTGCAGTTACATGTATTTTCTTGTTTCTGCATTTATAGTTTTCTAAAAATATATGATAGGCTTTATCGAGCGCTTGGAAGGAGGCATGTTCAGCTACAACTCCAAGCACAGTTGTGGTACCAAAAGGCACATTCAAGTTGGATCAAATAAAATTAGTAGGCCCCTGCAAAGCCCCCATTAAGCTTCAAGTCCAGGGCACAGTTAAAGCCCCTTCAGATTATACTAATTTGCCCAACAAGAACGCCGAATGGATCACTATAAGTTACGTCGACCACTTGACAATACAAGGTGGTGGAGTTTTTGATGGCAATGGTAAAAAAGCATGGACCAAAAACGATTGTGGCAAAAATCCAAAATGTGCTAAACTTCCAATAGTAAGTATATATTTATGGGCACAAAGTTTTCTTATATATCTATCGTCAAGATTAATTGAATCAATTTCATGTATATAGAATCTCAGCTTCAATTTCATCACCAACTCAATCATTCGTGATGTGACGACAAAAGATAGCAAAAATTTTCACGTCAATGTTTTAGGGTGTAAGAATGTTACGTTCCAACGCTTTACCGTTAGTGCGCCGGGTGACAGTATCAATACAGACGGACTTCACATTGCAAAGTCTGAATATATTAACGTCAGGGACTGTGTCATAAAAACAGGAGATGATTGCATCTCCATTGGTGATGGTATGAAACAACTCCATATCGAAAAGGTGACTTGTGGGCCAGGCCACGGTATTAGCGTAGGAAGTCTTGGTAAAGGCAAGACCGAAGAAGATGTGACCGGGATTTATGTCAAGAATTGCACATTCATTGGCACCCAAAATGGTATTAGAGTGAAAACATGGCCTTCTGCCCCAGCAACACTCAAGATAACAGATTTGCATTATGAAGATATTATTATGGACAATGTTGAGAATCCTATTATCATCGATCAAGAGTATTGTCCATGGAACCAGTGCAAGCTAGACGTAAGTTGACTTCAAACTCCAGCAAATACAAAGTCAATTATCGGTTTCACAACTGAATTATTTTTTTGTTTTTATGTACAGTCTCCATCACTTATCCAAGTCAGTCGAATGACTGTAAAAAACATTAAGGGCACCACAAAAACTCCGGTGGCAATGACGTTTGCTTGCAGCAAAACCAAACCTTGCAAAAATGTGGAGATCGGAGATATTGATCTTGCATACAGTGGAACCAAAGGCCCGATCACAACTAAATGTGCCAACATCAATCCTACTTTTGTTGGCAAACAGAATCCACCAATATGTGCTGCTTGAATCAAGACAAGTTTAATAACGTAGGGAATGAAATGTAATTAATAATGTCTCTATGAAAGTAACATAGACAAGTTTAATTAGGTATATCTATGGAACCAATTTTGTGTAGGATGATTGTCCACAGAATAATGAGATTAGAATATATGCATGTTTATAAATTTCATTTGTATGCTCATGAATGGTAACTAACCTTTTTAAAGTTCCTAAAATGAATTCGTCTACAAAAACTAACAGCGAGAATGATTTGGCCAATAGCATGGCATGCCGCATGAACATGTAAGATAGCTCGTTCAAACATAACCTACATGATCAAACAACTCAAAATAAAAATTTTCGAACAAAAAAAAAAAAAAAAGAAGGGCATTCATAAACGAAAGCCCTCTAGGATAAAATTCATGCGATGTAAGCTACCGCCGGTGGAGCTAGTTTCAAGGATTAATGGGATAAACATTATAAATTAAATTCATTGACTAAAAATTTATTACATTTGAAAGTTTTAAGGACAATTTGCGAGCATGTTGGACTATAAAAGTTTGAATTGTATTTCATTGTTTAAGACCTTAAAAGAGAGTTTTTATTTTATTTCACAAAATTCTTTGAAACCACCGTAACATATATTTAATCACCCTCGCAGATAATGTCAATTCTTTTTTTATTTTAAAATTTAAGTGCAATATGAACTTTCTGGTTCCAATACCACATTTTCTTTATCCTTAAACTCCATCTATACCTCCTTTTACTAAATTCTTAATGCTGCTAGCTACCTCATTAGTTTTGAAGTTACTATCTATCCCACCTCATTTTACTTGACAGTTTCAGCCCATCATCTGCATTTTCTCACTGTCAATTAGATAAATCATTTGAAGCTAATTCTATATTTCAACTTCTATTCTGAAAATATGCAAGTTTTCTTCGGTAGTCCCTGTATCTTTCTCATCCGTCATTAGGCTGTTGATGGTGTTGAAGGGCGAATTTATTTACAAAGTTTTCTCGAAAATAAAATCTATTGTATCCATAGAAAAGGACTCGACACAATCTGGCAAATAGCCAACAATATGTATATGCAAAATATTTGAAGCTTGTGATATATCTGTGTATTTTAGACCTTGAATTTAACAGTGTAATCTCTGAATGATATCCACCGTGCCATAAATTCTCACAAGACACGAGAAAAAGAATTTCAAAGCCTTGATTATAACTACTCTAATATCAAATTTATATGCCAGTAAACGATTTTACTGTTATACAGGAATGCATAAGCCCAACCATCTTTTAAATAATTCAAGAAAGATGGAATCTTTGACAATCTCTTCTTTCCTGTAACTGTAAGCATCACTCTTGATAGTTTTGCTCTGAAATATATCAGAAGGCAAACAGTTTCCTCTTAATACCGAAGAAACCCATATCAAAGATTTCAATAGAAAGTGACGATTGTTTCTCTAAACTCAAAGACAATGTTAAAAAAGAAAATTAATTCAGATTTGTTTTCAGATAGTCCGTATGCACCGAGTATCCCAAAACTGCATTAAGAAAAGAGAAAAGACTAACCTATCTATGTTCCTGTATTTGTCCACTCACATCTCCCAACTAACAAAATATGAAATCTTCTAAACCAGACTAAAAGAGGCCTAGAAACCAAAGAAGCCAAGCTCACTAGCCTTTTCCTTCTCAAATGTTTCAAAATACTGGTATATGATAGTCACAGCCAGTAGAATTCCAGTTCCTGAACCAATTGCACCCATAAGATCTGCCAAAACGGTCAGTGCTCCAATACACATACCCCCAAAGGCTGCTGTGGGTATATAGCGGTTCAGCTCCTTCTGTAGATTTGATTCCCGATGTCCAGGCATCACCATTTGTTGTTCCTTAAATATAATGGAAAGAAGATATATTAGTTGAGAAAATATGTTCATTTCTTTTCCGATGGTTAGATCTGTACTTGTTAACACAAATTTATATTTCTAGATAATGAAGTACTAAGAACATGAAACTCAAGTCATCTACCCATCAGTTTTAAAACTCGGCGGCATTCCGTAGGAACATGAACATAGGATACAAGAACGATATATCTATTTATCATCAACGTATAATTTAAACATCTTTGCTTTCTTGTAACAAAAAAATTACTTTGTCAATTTCCTTAAAGATTTTAGTGATAGAGAATTATGCAGGAACTCTGCAACTCTTTTTCTGAAAATTCATGGATTGCCAAGAATATAAATGTTCAGCTTGCTTTTAAATTAAACATGAATTATACCTTCAGTTGTTTAGCAACATCTTTAGCTGAGGATCCTGAAACCTCAATCCATGTCTTTGAGAACAAGGCACATGCTGACAGCATAAACACGATATAGAACAGTCCATGGAAAGGATGAGCCACTATATCTGACAAGCTGCAAAAGGCAGTAAACAATACTGACTACAGTGAGACAAAACCAAATAAGTTAGCACATTGAAATACAAGCAAGCAAAATGAAGAGTAGGTACAAAAGGTGAGAAAGGGAACCTTGAAGGTGCAGTGATGTAATAAGCAAGAGTGCAAGACCCCCAACAGGCACAGATTGGCCAGAATATTCAGATTCCTTCCACTTCCCCAAGAGGTTAACAATGAAATTTCCACTATATTTCCTGTACAGCAACTGTAAGAGTACACACAAAATGAGGGTGTCAATATTGTAAAGAAAGAAAGCATTTATAATTTCTTCATTTTAACAAAGGCCAGTACCTGGGAAATAAAGTAAAGATTGGACACAAGTGCAGACTGTAAAATAACAGGCATATTGGAAGTGTAGAACAACTTAATTGGATAAGAACCCTGTTGCCCACGGGCATTCTTCGACCTCACAGGCAAAACCACACGGAATCCTTGGAAGTAGATAACTATAAGGAAAATTAACACGGTTGCAAGCAAGTTTGTAACATTTGGAAGATTCTGCCTGTAGAATGCCTCTCGAAGTGCACGGACCTTGTCTGTTCGAGTAATCAACAAATGGAATAAAGCAATAACAGCACCTTCAAATTCAGCTCCACGCCTGCTGTTCACAGTAGTTGGACTAAATGCTTTCCAGATGATATTTTCACTGTCAAAGCAAATAACTTTTGAGAGATCATCATCTTGCAGCTCTTAAAAAACCTGTGAATGCAGAATAGACCAAATTCATAAATACTTACCAAATATTGGTTGCTATGAAAAGAGAAATTCCAGAGCCCAGGCCATATCCTTTCTGGAGAAGTTCATCCAAGCAGATTACAATTATACCGGCAAAGCAGAGTTGGAGAATTATAAGGACTGCATTTCCAACTCCAAGTTGGCCAACACTACCATACATTCCAGAGAGAACATAAGCAACTGCCTCACCAACTGCGATCAAGATACCAAGTAACTTCTGTGCACCATTTCTGGAAGACAAAAAAGATCCTCGTTTACAACACAGTGAAATGAACTTGATAAATGATAATTACACAGAATAAGGAAATAAAGAATTTTTGTGTCTTGAAATACTCAGGATATTAAAGCACAACAACATTATATGAAATCATTTAGGAGGTAAATGGATCACAATAACTCTAGATAAGAGTCTATCAAAACTATGAATTTTAGGTGGCAATTGAAAAGGATTAATTCCAGGAAATTTAAAGCTCTTCTGATTCATGTATTCCAAGAGAGGAAGATAGAAAGTCAGAAATAAATATCCTAAGAATTTTAGTAGACTTACAGCAGGGCTCGATCCTCCCGTACATTGTTATCAACTTCAATGATCTACGAACCCGATAAAAGTTGCATGACCAGTCCCGATGTCACTATGGGTGTGATTCCAAGCTCCATGACAGTACCTCGGTTTGAGGCAAGAATGACACGCATCCAATAGAAAGGATCTGCACCTGTTGTGGAGTGTATACCATACAGTGGGAGCTGACTGCAAACCAGGAAAATGAAGAGGGAGATTACAGTGTATATAACCTTCTCTCTGAACGGAATTTTCCTGTCAGCACTCTGAACCTCAGGCAGAAATGAGAGAAAAGGTCGGACCAGATGGAGCACTCTAAACCCACCTCCCATTTTTTTTTTGATAAAACCAAACCACCTGAACTGCACAAACACATTAAAAAACAAAATGTTTTAGCATGGAAAGCAGTTTCGGTACAAATAATGAAATATAAAGATTTGTACCACCTCTGCTACTTGGTTAAGACGGTAAACACATGTAAAGAAATGAACATAAATAAGTTCATACAAGCTTTGGGTGTTCACTTGTGATCTTAAGCAGTGATAAGCAAGGGACTAAGGGAACTTTCAAGTTTAGTATCATACTTCCCCCTAATACAAACCATTCACATACAAGTTCATCAAAATAATTTGACGCGTCCTAAACATAAGCTTCTTCTATAGAATTGACCGTGGAAATGTATGCTTCAGTATACCATCAAGAATTCAGAGGTTAATTGAGTACACTTGCAATACAATCAGACCGTACACATCCTTGCTTTAAACATTTCGTAGTTATCAACAAAAAGGGCATAGACGCATAGTATGACATGGACAAACTATTAATTCAAATCAGCCAGCAAAGATAAAATAATAAATGTAGTTCCAGCACATAAATCAAAATAAATTTTTTTCCCAAATCTATCATGTATACGCAAGTACAACTACACGACATATGAGATTAAATTGCAAACGACAATAATCGCTTTAAAATCGAACAAAAACAACTTATCGATGTTCATGCAATGATAGATCAGAGATTTAAAACATCAAGCTAAAAACTAAAAATGAGATCTATTGTCTTAGTTTCTAATTTTTCGATTTTAATTTGAGCTAAGCATAGAATAAATCATACAACTGTTATTTCTGGAGTATCTCCTTTCGAACAGTCTGACAGCGTAACGGTATGATCAACAGAATCAGTAAATTACTTCGAGCCAACCGACTTCACGATGTATCCTTAAAACAAATTTGCTTCCTTCAAAAGGTGCTTAAGGCGTCCAGCAATCGTTTCCCAGGATAGAACGAATTTCGTCTCCTACGGAAGCAGCACAGCAATCTGCAGGAGTTCCAGCGAACTCAATGAAGTGTTTTTTATTTCGAAAATAATATCAGAACGAGATAGAGAGAGGGAGAATGAGATTCAATGCAGAGAATAATAGCAATGAAAAA